AGTAGCCAATTCATTCTGCGGTAGACCAGTTGCCATCGAAGTCTATAGAACCAGGTCTGTCCTGCCATTTTAGCCATAGCTGGTGTGGGTGGGAGAAGAAGAGAATTCATACCTTTCCCAAGGCTATTAGTGCATCAGTGAATGTAATGGATTCAACTGGAATGCCTCAATCCGAGTCGCTACCCATTACTCCACCGTGTCTCCTGTGTTGCTTACTGCCAAAAACCAAATGACGTAATCACATCCGATGGGCGGTACCCAGAATACGCCTGCTTGCCTTGTTTGATTATGGTCGTCGGATGGGATAAACGAATTTGATTTTGAGTAACCGCTTATCCCCATTCATTTTTCTTACAGCTTTGTCCTTCACTATAAACAAGACGAAGCCGAATACAGCAGACGTTCTTTCGGCGAAACACGTCGTTTATAGCTTTTCCACTTTGTCTCGTTAACTTCACAAACGCACACCCACACGTGTGTGAACACACACGCATATAGAGTGCGATGGATAAATGGTCGTCTAAATTACTGCAAAAATGAAAATAACACTGACGTCTTATTTTAACAGATATTATTTACCAAAATTACACAAAAAATATCTGGAAATTCGAAAGAGTAAATTTATTCTATAAAATCGCCATTGGCTTCAACCACGACTTCCAGACGACTTCAGAATCTCCTGCAACTCTTCTGGACGGTCTCCTTATTTAGGTTGGTGAATGCTGCCATTATCCTTGCCTTCAGTTCATCTTTGGTGTTACAAGGAGTTTTGTTGTTCTCTTGCTCATCTGCACCCCACATAATAATCAAGGGGATTGCAGTCTGCGAAGTTAGGTGGCCAGATGGACGGGGAGATGTAGTCGCAGAAATTGTCTGACAGCTTGTGTGGCATGGTGCAGAGTCCTGTTGGCAGACATAGATTCTTGCAGCAAGCCATCCTTTTGTTCCAGAGCAGCACTACCTCCTCAAGACAACAAATCCGGGAGTTCTTTTCCGTGCTGCCGTAGATTCGTAATCACCATTAAACTCATCCAACTCTTTTCAAATCTACTACACTGTCCTCAAATTGACACCAAAACACTATGAAATGTTTGCATTGGAGCTTCCGGTGCGAATACCAATAAGTACAGCATGCAGTTGCCAAATTGCTGGCGGAGTGAATTGCATCATGGTGCACTTTTCCTCACAGGCGGTCTCCAACTGACCCTACTAAACTGTGCAGTCGACAAAATCAAAAACAAACAACGCGCATGCGGGAAATTAAAATATAAAATTGCGACAATTTACCGATCGCACTCTGGAAATAAATAGAGATAGATAGATAGATAGATAGATAGATAGATAGATTCATACGTACATAGATGACAATTTTTTAAGAAGTAAAGAGTTCTTATTTATTATCAAATATGTCTTATTTAAATATGTATCTGCTATAAATAAATAAGAAAGATAGATTGATAGATATATAGATAAGCGGATAGCTCGATTCATAGATAGGGGGAGACATATATATATATATATATATATATATAAAAGAGAGAGAAAATATATATATAGCTCGATTCATAGATAGGGAGACATATATATATATATATATATATATATATATATATATAAAAGAGAGAGAAATATATATATATATATATATATATATATATATAGAGAGAGAGAGAGAGAGAGTCAGTGAGAGAGATAGCAATTTCCAAAAAAGTTGATGAATTCTTATTTATTAATCAATATATATATATATATATATATATATATATATATATATATATATATATATATAGAGAGAGAGAGAGAGGCAGACAGATAGACAGAGAGAGATGTAGGTAGGCAGATATCTAGAGAGACAGACGCAGTAATTTCTAACCAATTGATGAATTTTTATTTATTAATACGACAGAGAATGTACTTTGATTTAGTTTTTTTTCAGGTGAGTTATATAAAACTGTCCGAATGTACTTTTAAATGTATAGCGCTCGGATTAAAAGAACATTCGGACAGTTTTTATATAATGGAATGTGCAAACACACACACACACACACACACACACACACACACATATATATATATATATATATATATATATAATTGTACAACATTTGGATATTTTTTTATTAAGTTGATCCTAAGCTTTGTAGCAAAACCAATATATGTAGAGTTTTTATTATTAGCCTCAGAGATACAATTTCTGAATGGGCATGTAAATTGATACACTACATTGGGTTTTTGTAGACTATTTAATTGTGTGCTTGTAGGGTTATTATAAAGAATGATAATAAACCCGCTACATATATTGGTTCTACTACAACCACACTCTCCCGTAGACTTACCTGTCACTTTTCTGATCTTAGTTCTATTAAACATCATTTCTTAGAAAAACATAGTCATATGCATAATATTAGACAGATATTAGTTGATAACACAATAATACTCACACATACACAGTAAAAATAACCTTCAGATATTGGAGGCCATCTACAATAAAACAAAGCAACCTACACTCAACAAAATTACATTTCAAACTAGTCACAACACATTAGATTGCATGTAGACATTGGTTCTGTTGTAATACTTCGGTCTATCACGTGATATGACGTCATAAAACCGCATCTTGAATTTAGGATCTACGTCTGTTATTACGCGATCGATATCGTTGCATAGCAATTTTCTATGTCAAAATAACAAAATATCATCTTTGACGGTGGATATCTTTGTTTCATGTCTGTATAACCATTCTGATGATGACTCATCTGAGCCGAAAGCTTAAGACAAACTTAATAAAAAAAAATATACAAATGCTGGAAAATATTTGTCTTTATTTTCAACTAAAATTAGACCAAATCATTTGAACATTAGAACGGCTTATGATCAAACATAATAGACATTCATTGTCTATTTAAAAATAGATGTTTAAATAATGATCTCTTGCCCCAGTACAATATATAGTGTAACCCGGATATAAGAGAGTTGTCGGGACCGGAGAATAAGTCTCTTATATCCGGGTTTCTCTTATATCCGGGTTTGTTCTATTTTGTTTACATTAACACAGGCTCTAATTTGGGACCAGAGAAAATCTCTCTTATATCCGGGTTTCTCTTATATCCGGGTCTCTTATATCCGGGTTACATTGTATATATATATATATATATTGTTGAGGGACCATCCCCTTTATACACAAATGGACTCACCCAGTATATACGGATACTACTGCTACGTGAAGACTCGAGAAGAGGACCGAAGAGGGACAGTGAAAGGTTGAAGGTGACAGACAGACAGACAGACAGACAGACAGAACGAACGTAGCCAGCAAGAGTCACAGTGAGCGAGCACGTAGACTCAGTAAGAAGTCATACAGCGATACTTCAATACCAATGACTGTATAGATATTTTGCTACTAACCCGTATTCCTGGAACTACTAACCTGCATTACCAGTTTGTATTATTACGTTAATACATTATTTTACTATATTCATTCTTGGCGTTTGTTATTTATTGGTGCCCGATTTCATCCCGGAATCCAAAAATTATATATATATATATATATATATATATATATGTGTGTGTGTGTGTGTGTGTGTGTGTGTGTGAAAATATATAGAAAATAGGAAGGAACTGGTTAGGTAAATAATCCAAAGTTCCTTAGTATTTTAGTTATTATTTTAAAAAATAGTGCTCGATACAAAAGTAGAGCATAAATATAATTATTTATTTAAAAATATGATTTTGATTTCAATTATTAAAACACGTAAATTTCAGAAATACGTTATTCTAAAAAAAATTTCGCTTGAAGATGGAACAGAGCTTACTTTAACTCAATTTAATTCAAATAATTATATTGAAGTTTTTCGGCTATTGTTTTGAAACACGAGACTTCTTATGTCGCGATTTGGAATCATATTTTAAATAAATAATTATATATATATATATATATATATATATATATATATATATATATATATATATATATATATGTAAGCAAATATATGGATATAGATCCGATTAGTATGAAGAAAAATATACTGAAAAAACAAACAAAAATCCTAATATGCTGTTTTAATGTTTAATGTCAACGTCGGACGTTTCGGTCTAATAGACCATCTTCAGCACATATTCATAAAACATAATTAACATAGACCATATACAATTCAACATGAAAAAGACGATGGGCATAAAAGCAATACTAATCCAAACAGATAACTGAAATCTTTTATAAGATCAGCGTTCCGTTTAAATATGATCACGTCGTCGTCACGTGGGCGATGTTGTGAAAACGTGTTCCTAAAATTTGAGTATTTTGAATGAAAAACGAAAAGTATTTTATTTTGATCTAAAAGGGGAAATATTAAAGAAGCCAGGTGAACACTAGACCTGGCTTCTTTAATATTTCCCCTTTTCTAGCAAGATTAATTCTCGACAAACATACATATTAGTTTTAGATTGTATATGTTCTATATTAATTATGTTTTATGAATATGTCCTGAAGATAGTCTATTAGACCGAAACGTCCGACGTTGACATTAAACATTAAAACAGCATAATCGCATATTAGGATTTTTTTTTTTTTTTTCAGTATATTTTTCTTTATATATATATATATATATATATATATATATATATATATATATATATATATATATATATACTGTTAAACGTAAGTCCCTTATTTAGGTGGATAGTGTGACATGGAACAATTTATTTTTTTACTTATTATTTTTATTGTTTTTTTTATATTAGTAGTAGACGTAGTGTTATTGTTGTCAATATTGTTTTTCCCACAAATCTTTACTGAAGGCTACATTATTCTAACCAATCAGAACAGCCATTAAAAAGATGAAATTTAAATTTTTATTATTGCATTATTCCAAAATTTTAACACATCATCAGATAGCTATTAATGTCAACAGCTGAGCACAAATAGTCATTAATTTAAAAAAAATAGTAATTAATATATAAATTATCCATAACTAGACGTACAAGAATATTGACGTGGTTAAATGGTTAGGAAGCGTTACTCGAGGACACATTGGCCCAGTGAAGAAAGCCGGTGAGTACAATTTGCTGAGACGTTGTGAATATGGCAATGAAGATTAGGATAACAGTCCGAGTAATGTAAATAATGCAAGTAATCATAATACCTCATCTCAGAGATATAGATGCCGAAGCGTTGTGAATATGGCAATGAAGATGAGGATAACAGTCCGAATAATGTAAATAATGCAAGTAATCATAATACCTCATCTCAGAGATATAGATGCCGAAGCGTTGTGAATATGGCAATGAAGATGAGGATAACAGTCCGAATAATGTAAATAATGCAAGTAATCATAATACCTCATCTCAGAGATATAGATGCCGAAGCGTTGTGAATATGGCAATGAAGATGAGGATAACAGTCGAATAATGTAAATAATGCAAGTAATCATAATACCTCATCTCAGAGATATAGATGCCGAAGCGTTGTGAATATGGCAATGAAGATGAGGATAACAGTCCGAATAATGTAAATAATGCAAGTAATCATAATACCTCATCTCAGAGATATAGATGCCGAAGCGTTGTGAATATGGCAATGAAGATGAGGATAACAGTCCGAATAATGTAAATAATGCAAGTAATCATAATACCTCATCTCAGAGATATAGAGGCCGAAACGTGGTGAATATGGCAATGAAGATGAGGATAACAGTCCAAATAATGTAAATAATGCAAGTAATCATAATACCTCATCTCAGAGATATAGAGGCCGAAACGTGGTGAATATGGCAATGAAGATGAGGATAACAGTCAAATAATGTAAATAATGCAAGTAATCATAATACCTCATCTCAGAGATATAGAGGCCGAAACGTGGTGAATATGGCAATGAAGATGAGGATAACAGTCCAAATAATGTAAATAATGCAAGTAATCATAATACCCCATCTCAGACATATAGAGGCCGAAACGTTGTGAATATGGCAATGAAGATGAGGTTAACAGTCCAAATAATGTAAATAATGCAAGTAATCATAATACCTCATCTCATAGATATAGACAGTTAATGTCTACATATCCATAACTACATATAGAAGAATGTCGTTTTTGATAAAAGTTAAAAAATAACCATATGTACATAGAAATGGATATATTGTCGAAAACTGCTTTTTCCACATTATAACTATTTCTGCTATGTTATAATGCTTATTACCTAAACAATATGAATACTGAATAATTTTTTTTAAAAACTATAATCACATCTCCCTCATAACGGTCGCGATCGGTAAATACTGTTTGTTGATATATCAAATTATATAACATTATATTATATATATTGTGTATTTGGGCAGCAAACATTCTTTTATGTAAGTTTCGTTGAAACAAAGCCCAGTCCGATGAAACCCTCACGGATTAAACGCGTCACAAAAAAACACATTTTTTAATTAGTCAAATTATTTTTTAACAGGAAGCGATATCTCTCAGAGAGATGAAATTTACATTTTTATTATTGCATTATTCCAAAAGCACATACGCAGATAGCTATTAATGTCAACAACTGAGCACAAATAGTTATTAATTTAAAAAATAGTAATATATATATATATATATATATATATATATATATATATATAATACGTAAAAATGCAACTCAAGACTACAACTTTTAAGTCCACAACTCAAGACTACAAATGCATTGTATTATTAATAATTTATTAATAATTTTATATAATACTATGGAGTAAATAGTACCGTAGAAGATCTACCAAAATGATGGTAAATATTAAGAGCCAGGACGCAAATTTACTGTAGATAATCTAGCATTTTCATTCTCAAAATTGTTGTGATATATATAGAATTTTACGTATTATTTTCTGCTACAAATATATATATATATATATATATATATATATATATATATATATATATATATATATATATATATAGAGAGAGAGAGAGAGAGAGAGAGAGATTCACCTAGTGAGCCAGACAAAGCTACCTAGGTTTCACCCTAAACGGATCATCAGGGAAAGTAAGGCTCTACGGTTGTATTGAGCGCTTTTTGTTAGTTAGTTGTTTAATCGTATCGGGTTTTTTCTTTGGGCTTCAGACCTGCATCTGTGCGATTTTTTGTCGGCAGAAGTTCATGTTTGTAACTCTTTCTTTTTTTAAAACCTTTTTTTCCCTCGAGATTGATTTGACTATTAGCAAATCAAAAATTCGAGGGCTTTTCGAAACGAGTCTATCTATCTATCTATCTATCTATCTATCTATCTATCTATCTAAGTAGTTAGCATTTGTTTAATGGCACTTTCAGTCTTAAATATTTTTTGGTTGTGGTATCTGATTGTCTAGGTCAATGTATGTGGATGTGTGTACATGTATTTATCGGTGTCTATGTGTATGGAAAATTCATTCACTTTTAATTGCGTATGTATGTGTTGGTTTTCCTTTATATATATATATATATATATATATATATATATATATATATATATATATATATATATATATATATATATATATATATATATATATAAACGGTCGTGGAGATGTTCCCTGTCTTGTCACCTTTTTGTGTGTATATATACATCTAAATATGTCTGGGGGCTTATATAATATAATCTGATTGTGTTTGTGTTGTTTTACGCGTGAGGTTAGGACCCCATTCCCACACTTGGGATTAAAAGGACCGGATGACAGATAAGCGTCTATTCTAACGTAATTTCAATGAAGAAATAAATTGAATGACATACGTTTTTCTTCTTTTCTCCTCAGTAATTTTATAATTTTAAACATAATAGAGATTAAATTTCGATTTTAAAATTGGGAATTTTTTTTTTTGTTTTTAATATCAAATTTTATCATATAATTTAATAATTACTGGTTAGAATAAACTCATTTTTAATATTACCACTATTTTAAAGCTCTTAATAGCTATTATAACCTTACTTCGTTGTCAAGCTTTTTGAATTTTCCTATACTTGTGTTTTGATTGGTCATTCTAGCTTCTGTAACAACGTTTTCCCCTTGCGAAGGATCGTTAATTAATTTGAAACTTTTAAAAACATTTATTTTACATTCAACATCATCACTTGATAAGACTCCGGAGGTGTTGAAACAAAAGGGTTGTTTTTGTAGTGATTTTATAACATATTTATGTTATAATTTTTTAAAAATAAATAATTATATATATATATATATATATATATATATATATATATATATATTTGTATACATTATTTTTTATAGATGCAAATATTTAAGTAAATGCTCTGTTTATAATAAACAGTATTAACAACATTTACCGGCCTGAATATCAGAGAAATTTCATTGGAAATATATAGCCTCATGGGAAATTTGTAGTTTAAAAGCAGTAATTCGGCCTTGCTTCCTCTGTAGCTAAATGTTATAGCAAGTCAGGCTATATAACGGTTTCGTATAGGATACAGGTTCGATTCCTGTCGGAGGACACATTTTCTATGAAATTTCTCGGACATTCAGGTCGGTAAATGTTGTTAATACTGTTCATTATAAACAGAGCATTTACTTAAATATTTGTATCTATAAAAATAACCTATAAATATATTAAAATAATTGTCAGCCGTAGTCCATTTCATATATATATATATATATATATATATATATATATATATACATCATATATATATAAAAGTTATTGCCTATATATATATTACGTTTTCCTCTTTGGCACGAATGAGGGAGAACGAATGTGCTTGGGACAATGAAAATTATGCAAGATTTTTACCCTATCTGACTCCCACCAAATGGAAAAAACGTAAGAACGCCCCCCAAAATAATAATAATAATAATAAAACAAATACAAATTAATAACATTTTCCATGTCTGCTATGTTTAAACAAATTTACAGAAAAATGTCTTGAAATTCTAAAGAGTAAATTTATTTATACTATTTACATTATTCGGACTATTGTCTCCATCTTTGACACCATATTTATTACAACGTTTCGCCCGTTGTACGGTCCAGCCTTCTTCAGGCGGTTGGAATGTCGAAGTGAACCCGTTATTTCACTCACTGAGGTAGTTCTAGTTCCAGGTGCCATGTCCAATGGATGTCAGAACTTTCAGAGAGAAATTAACAGGAGATAACTGATAACTGACATCTATTAGACATGGCACGTGGAACTGGAACAGTTTACCCCAGTGAGTGAAATATAGGGTTCATTTCGACATTTCAACCACCTGAAGAAGACTGGAGCGTACAACGGCCGAAACTATGTAATAAATATGGCGTCAAATATGACAATAGTCCGAATAATGTAAATAATGTACATAATACCTCATCTCAGAAATATAGACAGCTACCAACGAAACATGACTATATATATATATATATATATATATATATATATATATATATATATATATATCAGGTCATGCTATAAGTTCTGTCCGAATTTTGAATAAAAAACAAGTGGCCAAATGTTACATTTAATTACAGATTCAATCAACAATGTATTTCCCTGATTATCTATAACTTCCTTCCATCTATTAACAAGCTTACTAATTCCATTACTGTAAAATTATTTTGGCATTGATTCGAAGAACTCACAAATGTCAGTTTTAACCTCTTCCTGTGTTACAAAAGCTGTTTCTTCCAAATGATTCTGTAAGCTATGAAACAAATGGTAGTCTGAAGGAGCAAGATCGGTAGAATCAGGTGGATGAGGAATTTTCTCCCAACCAAGTTCTTCGATCTTTTGTGACGTGATTCTTGCTGTGTGGGGTCGCGCATTGTTCTGATGAAACATCACCCCTTTTCGATTCACTAGACCAGGTCTTTTTTCCCTCAAAACTTGGTTCAAACGCTCTAATTGCTGACAGTATATTTGAGCATTAATTGTTGCATTAGGTGGTAAGAATTCAAAGTGGATTATTCCTTGGCAATCCCACCAGATTGAAAGAAGAACCTTTTTCCCATGAAGTTCCCTTCTCACTTGTGGCTGGGGTCCTTCCCTTTTACCAAGCCACTGTCTACGACGCTTAACATTTCGATAAAAGATCCATTTTTCGTCGGCAGTCACAAGTCTATCCAAAAAAGGTGAAACAAGTTGGCGAGAATGGAGAGAAGAGCAGATGTCAACTTTGGATTTGAGGTTGTTTTCAGACAGTTCATGAGGCACCCATTTTAGGAACTTTTCCAAGTTGTTGAAGATGACGATGAACAGTTGTATGGTTTGAACTGAGAACCACTGCCAATTCCTCAACTGATAAAGCAGGATTTTTTCTTTTTCTTCAAGGGCTGCTTCAAGAAGCTTTTCATCAAACTCAACTGAACGTCCGGTTCGATCTTCATCTTCAAGGGTGAAATCTCCACCTCTGATTTTTGCAAATCATCTTCTGCAAATTCTTCCATTCACACATTCCTCTCCATAAACTGAGAGAATGTTTCTAGCCGCTCTGGCTACTGAGTTTCCTTTCTTGAACTCATAAAGCATTATGTGCCTCAAATGATTCTTGGGTACTTCCATGTAAGCAGGGCTTTAATCGAACAAAATTTCATTTTATTCTTCTCTGAAATAAAATGTGATCAGTTTAAATGCATCTAAACATAAAAATAATGTTCAGCTCCATTAGACATTATTAAATACTCTTTAAATTTCATTCATTTTAACAAAAACTTAAATTTCGGACAGAACTTATGGGATGACCTGATATATATATATATATATATATATATATATATATATATATATAAGCTGGATTGTGACTCTGGGTTTCACGCTCTTTGAAGGGCGTGAAACTCAGGGTCTAAACTCACATCAATCCAACTAAATCACTAATACTGAGCACATTCCAATAATATACAAACGACACATAAAATTGCATATATATATATATATATATATATATATATATATATATATATATATATATATATATATATATTACATTTTTCGAGATTCCAATAAAAAACATAAGAAATTATAATAAAAATATTTTTAAATCGCTTTACAGGAAAGTTTTCACATTTCAATACTATGACTGGACTTCTTCAGGCAATGATAAGTAAATGAAGAAGTACAATCATAGTATGGAAATGTGGAAAGCTTTTCTGTAACGATTTCAAAATATTTTCATTATAATCTGTCATAATTAAGATGTAATAATAATATATTGGTCTCCTTTGTATTGAAGTTTTTTAAAAAAGTAAATGCTACGAACAGTGGATTTTTACTACATCTGTTCCTTTTCTGATTATATATATATATATATATATATATATATATATATATATACACACACACACACATATATATATATATATATATATATATATATATATATATATATATATATATATATATATATATATATATAGGCGACAATCCTTCGTTTATGCATATTTTATTAAAACGACAGACAAGGTACTACGGTTAAGTTTTTTTATTTAATTTTTCTTGTGTTCGAACAAGAAAAAATGGCCAAATGTTTAACAGTTTCGAGAGCTTTCGGCTAATACTTTAGACATTATCATGGATGATTCGGTTTTCAGCTTAATTGAGTGTGTGCATTATGTGTATGTCTTAGTGTGTGGTAGGGATGCTTTCAATTTCCGAACACGGTTAGCACATTGTGGCCTTGTTCGTAGTTAATATTGTTAAGAGTTGGCTTTTTCTTTTTTATTATTAAAGCTTCCATTATTTTTAATCTCTTTTTTACAACTGGATGAAGTTATTATATTTGTGTTTTCTACTATCATGTTTCTAATGGAGTCTGGTAAGTTTGTGTGTGTGTGTGTGTTTAAATGGGTTCTAATGGAGCTATGATCAAATATATATATATATATATACATACATACATACATACATATATATATATATATATATATATATATATATATATATATATATATATATATATATATGATTGCTGAAGATGATATTAACCCATTGTACCATCGGCGTGTATCTATGAAGAAAGTCCGACCTAAGCAATCCGGTGTCTTCCGCTTCCAAACGATTAGCCACTCATAATAATGACGGTAAATGTAAAATTCATGCCTGAAAATCCAATCAGGCCGAATAAGGGACGTTAATAGGCTGGGATGTACAAGTGACCAGATTGCCAGCATCTGACGCTACGGAAGCGGCTTCTTCGCTTGACTCCTGCAAGGGGGAAATTAAGTCTACACGTTTGATCCAAGAAATAGCCTCAGTAAGTCAGCAGTTGGTGGTCCGAAGGCCGGGGAGTTGGTGCTGTCGTTTCAGTGTGTTCCACCGACGATCGCTTTCTTTTTTCTTTTTTTTTTTTTTCACCTCCCTCTTCCATCGCTTTTTCTTCTCCTCCTTTATTTTTCTCCTTTTCTCCATCTCTTTTAACTGCTCAATTCCCAATATTTCTCTGACTTTACCCGACCACCTTATTTCTTTTCCGTTTTATATCTCTTCTCGAATTTCTCTTTATTTGAAAATTTCTCCTCATTTTTCTCCGCCTATTGTCCTTTCTCTCCTACTCTTCCTATTCCTCTACTACTTTCTTTCTTTCTTGTGCCTCTCTCTTTATCATTTTCTCCTCCTTTTCCTCATCTATCTATCAGTGTTATACTTTCTACTCACACCTTCTCCACTCCTTCTGGTCTATATGTACTCCCTTTTCTTTATTTTTCTCTCTTTGTTTATTGTTTTTTTCTCTCAGTTTGCTCCTCTTTCTTTCTCTTTCAATTCCTCTTCCTTTTCCTCATCCATATGTCAGCTTTCTTCTTTCTTCTACTGCCACCTTCTACACTCTTTCCGTTTTGTGCATATTTCCTTTCTTTCTTTCTTTCTTTCTTTCTTTCTTTTCTCCTCTTATGTTGTCTTTAAATTCACCCTCATTTTTTTCATCCCTCTGTTAACTTCCTACTTTTCCTTCCCCTACCTTATCCGCTTTTTCTCTTTTACGTATGATTCTTTTTCCTCGATCTTCTCCCCACCATCTCTCTCTCTCTCTCTTCATACCTCTCTCTTCATAGTTTCTCCCCCTCTTTATTTTCCTTTCATCTTTCTTTTATTCTTATTCTTTTTTACTTCCCTTGCCAGCTCTCTACACAGTCCCTGCCTTCAACTCCCACTTCCTTTTACTCTCTATTTTTCTCAGCGTTCATTACTTCTCCTCTTCCCTATCCTCCGTCATAATTTCCCGCTTCTTGCTTCTCACGTTCCTTTGAATTCTATTCGCCTCTGTAGCTACCAATTCCTTCTCCTGTTCTCTTTTGTTTCTTTTCTGCTACTGTTTCCAGCAGATTTTGTCTCTTCTTTCCTTTTCTTCGCTTTCGCCTTCCTTTTCACGTTCTTTGCTTTATTTTCTTTTCTCTTCTTTTTCGTTGTCCTTATCCCGCTGCCCATTTAACGTTGTCGTCTTCATCTTTCATTTCAATTTTATTTTCATCTTTCCCTCATTTCTTTTTCTTTCTTTTTTTCTAACGAATATCCTCTTTTACTTCTTTCTTACTTCTTTTATGTACAGTGTTCATTTAGGACACGACTCTCCACAATTTCCTATCCTGAGTAGCGTTTCCTACTACTACAGTCTTTCGTTTTTCAGTGTCACGTCTTCTTTCTCTTCCTTCCTCTCTTTAGTTTTTCTCCATAACTTTCAGTCTTTTTTTATCCATGTTACAATCACCATCTTTCTCTCTTTTCGAATTTACGTTCTTTCTTTTTAACTCCTATTTCTTTCTTTCTTTTTTCTTTCTTTGTAAATTTTATTCATTCATTTATTTAGTATTTCATTCATCGTTTTTCCTCCTACTTTTTTCTTCTTTCATTGTTTTTCCTGCTTTATTTCTTTTTCTTTCTTTCTTACATTCTTTTTTTCAAACTTCTTTCTTTTTTCTTTCTTTCTTTGGACTTCTTATTCATTCGCTCGTTCATTCTTTCGTCGTTTTTCCTTATTTTTTCTTTCTTTTTTCAAATTTCTTTCTTTCTTACTTTGTACATCTTATTCATTCATTCTTTCTTTTATTCCTTTATGGTTTTCCCTCTTCCATTTTTCTTTTTCTTTCTTTCTTTTCCTTACTTTTCTTTCTTTATTTCTAACATCCTTTTCGTTCCTTCATTTTTTTCGACTTTACTTTTTCTTTCTTTCATTGCTTTTCGTTATATTACCTTTCTTTCTTTTCAAATTTAGTCCCTTCTTTCTTTCTTTCTTTCTTTATACGTGTTCATTCATTCATTCTTTCATTGTTTTTCATTGTTTTTTCTTACATTTCTTTCTTTTTCCAGATATACTTTTTTTCATACATTCTTTCTTTCTTACATTCTTTTCATTCTTTCCACATATCATTTCTTTCTTTCTTTTTTCTTTTCCATGTTTACTTCTTTCTTTCTTTCTTTCTTTTTTTCTTTCTTTCTTTCTTTGTCCATTCCAATCTTTTTGTTCTTTTCTCAGTTTTTCTTTTATTTCCCTTCCTTCTTCCTTCCTTTCTTCCCCATATTTCTTTCTTTCTTTCTTTCTTTCTTTCTTTCTTTCTTTCTTTCTTTCTTTCTTTCACCTTTAACCATCCTTCTTAATAACAACATTTTCTCCCTACCTTCTTCATGATTACTGTTGTCTTCTTTCACATTTCGTCCCGTTGAAGTCTTCGCCATCATTTTCATTCACCTTTTTCTTTCTCTTTTTTTTTTCGAACTTTTTTACTCTATTTCTTCTGCAATATTAATTTCTCATTTACCTACACTTCTTCTTTATTCTCAGCGCCGTTTCCTCTTCTTAGTTCTATTTTTATTCTTCATCAGTAGTATTTACCTTCTCACGTTCTCCTTCATCAGAAGCCTCGTTTCTTTCACCATTCCACGACTTGTTTTATTCTCAGTTTCATTTTTTCTTACTATTGTTCATTTATTCTTGTCTTCTATATCAACAGCTTTCTTCTTCTTCTTCTTCTTCTCCTTCTCCTTTTCTTCTTCTTCTTCTTCTTCTTCAATTTCAATCTGTTTTTCTTTTTCTACTGGTTTCTTCTTTGTCTTCTTCGTTCATCTCCATAGCAGACGGAATTGAAAAGAAGAAAATTATCTACTTTCTTTTCCCGTTACTTTAATATTTTTCTCTTTGCGTTCTCTTGAAATATGCTATTTTCTTTTAACTCCTTTCGTCTTCAGTCACCCTTTCTTTTCCCCCTTTTCCTATCCTTTCTTCGTCCATTTTTCTTTATTTTCCTTTTTATTTTCTCTGTTTCTTACTGTTTCCTTTTTGGTTTCTTTCAGCCTTTCCGTCACATTATCCTCCGTCTCTCTCTACTTTTCTTTATACCCCATGTAAATTCTTTCTTTCTTTCTTTCTTTCTTTCTTTCTTTCTTTCTTTCTTTCTTTCTTTCTTTCTTCTCTCCTCTCTCACTTCATAAATTCATGAATTTCTTTCTTTCTTTCTTTCTTTCTTTCTTTCTTTCTTTCTTTCTTCTCTGCTCCCTCAATTCATAACTTCATGCATTTCTTTTTTTTTCTTTCTTTCTTTCTTTCTTTCTTTCTTTCTTTCTTTCTTTCTTTCTTTCTTATATCTTTTTCCTTTTGCATTTGTATTTAATTTCTTTCTTCATTCTTCTTTCCATCACTCTTCCCGTTTTTTTTATTATAGTTCTTTCTTTCTTTCTTTCTTTCTTTCTTTCTTTCTTTATTTCTTTCTTTCTTTATAAATTCCCTTTCTTGTGTGTTTATTTCTCTCTTTCTTTCATACATTTCTTCCCTCTTGTCTTCATTCTTCCTATTCTTATCTTTCATCCATTCCTATCTTTCTACGTTATTTCTTTCTTTCTTTCTTTCTTTCTTTCTTTCTTTGCCGCCCTCCACCCCAGATGAAAAGGAGGAAACACTAACATGGGAAAGCGAACAGAAATATAAACCCATACGCATGCGTAAACACATGCACACATATAAACACTTCCGGGCTCGCTTTTGTAATTGTCTTTCTCGTTCGTAGCTTTGTTTTAGGGCATTTTAATCTACTTCACCGAAAGTAGTAATAGGTAATGTTAATAACTGACGTCTTCCTTGCCAAGAATCGGTTTTCTATCGGCCATTCCTTCACCATGACTACGACTACCACCACTAGTGCGACAGACAAATTCTTCTTAGCAAGAGCCTCGTGACTTGTGTAATGAATTGGAAGTCACGTGTGTAATGTTTCCTTCCTCACTGACAGGTCCGGCAGCATCTGTAGCAATCATTTTTCATTGAAGTTTGATTCTACGTTTTTAGGGCGTCGTTTGTCTGCGTCAGCTAATCGAAACAGGCTTTCGAATTCTCATTAAAGCCAGATTTAAATCCACAGGTATGAGTAGCAGTGTAGTATCCACGGTTTTATCAGCAGTCGTATTCATTTGGAGAGCAATACAATAAACTGACGCATGCAGGCAAAAATGGCCTTTGCCTGTTTATCTAGAAGAATACATGTCACAAGATTCACCATTTTCTACTTAATTTGCATATGTGTCGTATATAAAGGCAAAACTATATATATATATATATATATATATATTATTATAAAAAGAAAGAACAGTAAGTTATTTCATCTGGTGTTCTTATTGATATTTTTACAAAACAGTGCTCAATGTAAATTTACAGAGCATAAATATTATAAATTAACTGATTTAAAATATGATTGCTTCGCTACACAGGAATTACCATGTTTCAAAAACCGGAGCTAAAAAACTTCAAATTTAATTATATAATTATTCTCTCTATCCATGAAAACAAAAAATTATGAATTGTATGTGCGTTTAAAACTCAGTAAATTTAAAAATAAGTTATTCCAAAATTCGCTTGAAAATGAAACAGAACTAATGCTTTTAATTTAATTATATGATTAAATTTGAAGTTTTTACCTTCGGTTTTTGAAACATGGTAATTCCTGTGTAGCGAAGAAACCATATTTCAAATCATTTAATTTATAATATATATAATGAAATGGACAAAGTCCGACAATACATTTTTATGTTTATACATTCTTTTTATAGATACAAATATTTAAGTAAATGCTCTGTTTATAATAAACAGTATTAAACAACATTTACCGGCCTGAATGCCCGAGAAATTTTCACAGAAAATATTCGTTCTCTGACAGGATTCGAGCCTGTATCCTATACGGAACAGTCATTTAGCTTGACGTGCCTGTAACCGACTTGGCCACAGAGGAGCGTTCGGTTAGCACGGTGGAATTTACTGTCTTTAAACTTCAATCTTCTATGAATCTCTCACGTACATTCATATCTGCTCATGGCATATCAAATATAAACAAATGACGTCACACATTATGAAATGGACAAAGTCCGACAATTATTTTAACACATTCTTTTTCTTTTTGTTTTTTATAGATACAAATATTTAAGTAAATGGTCTGTTTATAATAAACAGTATCAAACAACATTTACCGCCCTGAATGTATTGTGTGTGTGTATATATATATATATATATATATATATATATATATATATATATATATATATATATGAATAAAAACAGACCATTTTAAGGTTCCATGTAATAAGTTATTTCACCACAACCCTTTTTCCATACGGATTACCTAGTTTTGCATAAACTAAATATATATATATATATATATATATATATATATATATATATATATATATATATATAATTGTGTATTTAGGCAACAATCCTCTTTTTATAAATGTTTACTTAAAGACAAATGTGATTAAACCTTTTATTCAATTTTTCTTGTAATACCGATGAGTGATCGCTTTTCTGGAAATAAAGTTTTGAAAATCTGACTGTTTTTAAACGTTTGATGTTCAGAAATATGAAATTACCTATAAGAACACAAAAAAAAAATCAAAATCTTCATCTTAGTACTTTTTCAGTTGTCTAAACTGAAACTTTGTAATACATATATATATATATATATATATATATATATATATATATATATATATATATATATATATAGGATAAAATTATTAGGAGGATTTGAGATAATTATAATTAAGTAATTCCTCGAGTCTAGAAGAAACCTCAACAGAATGCAGAAAGCACTGGACGGCCGTTTCGTCCTACATTTGAGACTCATGTGCGCCTCCACTTAATTATGATTATCACAAATCTTCTTAATAATTTCTATCACTTGTATATCCTTGCATGAACCGGCTTCCAATGCTCTGGATGGAGCGGCTTGGGGATAGTAGTCGTGGCTCGTGGGGGCACAGTCCTATGGGTCAGGTAAACTCGGGTGAGTCCCACCACGGAATATGTGATCGAGCGCCGCTATATCTAGTCTGATTCGTTACTTCTTCGTCACCGAGGCCCGTTGGTACAGTTGGTATGACGTTTGCCTTTCAATTCTCGGTAGTGGACGCGCACTTCTGATGAGTCCCAAATATAGAACGAAACGGATGTTCAGTGCTTTCTACATTTCTAGACTCGATGAATTAATTATGATATATATATATATATTTATCCCTCCTTTCTCTTTCATCTATTCTCACCTTTTCTCCCCAACACCCCACTCTTAGAAGGCTTGGGAATGTTGTGCTTAAACTCTTGACCCTTGTTGTCGAAAAGAAAATTTTCTGGCCATCATTTTAACATCTCAAGCATCATTATTTACATTATTCGGACTATTGTCCTCATTTTTTGTCACCATATTTATTACAACGTTTCGGCCTCAACGACACATGGCGCAGTGGATAAAGGCGTTGGTTAGATCCAGTGACAGAACCCAAAGAGTGTGAATTCAATACCCGGTTAAGGTAGTGGAGAAATAATAGGGGATAACTGATAACTGACATCCATTCAACATGGCACGTGGAACTAGAACAGTCTAACCCAGTGAGCGAAATAAAGGGTTTAGTTCGACATTCCAACCACCTGAAGAAGACCGGAGCGTACAACGGCCGAAATAAATATGGCGACAAAGATGGGGACAATAGTCCAAATAATGTAAATAATGTACATAATACCTCATCTCACATAATACCTCAAGCATCCATCACTAAATTGACATCAACAAGCATTATTGTTTCACTCCATAACCTTTTTGCCTTTATGTATTTTTTTTTCCAAACAAATCGAAAAAATGGAAGTAACGTTTCACATACGACTTGGTTCCAAACAGAATTGTTCATAACCATTTTGGTTCTCACCAGTCGAAGTGCAATTGAAATGCACCGAAACGACGATGCATCTTTGTGGTGATTAAATTGTTTTTGTTTATATGAAAAAATTAATAAATAATTTTTGATCTACCATCTGTATTGAGGTCTCTTTTGAATTAATGCTGTGAACGTTAGAATTTATATATTATTTTTGTTCTCTTTGCATCGTATATATATATATATATATATATATATATATATATATATATATATATATATATATATGTCATTCGCAGACAGTGGTTTCGCTGTATCACAGCTCTTTAGTGCGACTAGACATTCAAATGCCTCAAACCAGGACTATATATATATATATATATATATATATATATATATATATATATATATATATATATAATAATCCTCCTCTCCCATTACTGAGTATGATTGAGAGAGATATGAAATTAATCCCTCCTATTCTCTATCATGTCTCTTTAA